TCATACAACTCTTATCACAATCCATACACACATCAATTGTGTAAAGCGCATTTGTACATTCATTGCCTTCATCATTCTCAAAACATTTCCTCTCCACTAAACCTCCCGGCATTAGGTCCTTCTTTTTTCCCCTCCCTTCCCCCCCCCGCCTGTCTCACGAGCCCTTGATAATTTATAAATTATTATTTTGTCATATCTTGCCCTGCCTGACGGGCTGTGAATCTTTAAAGGAGCAGACAGCCTCACCTTTCTCCCAAAGTCTAGCATGGCTGTCCTGGGCTAAAACGGGACAATTTATACTCAACAAGAAGTGCAGTATATTGAAACACTAAGCATGTCTCAGTCAATGAGTTAATATTGATAAGAAATCCTCAAGATTAATATGCTAAAAAGCTAATTTACTACAGCAAACACCAGTAAATAAAAGGAAGTAGCAAAGCAATTATCTCAAGTTTCATTAAATAAAAACACCAATGGATAATCAAATAGCAAATAGGGTGGGTTTCTTTCTAGAGAAATATATAGACAAGGGATAAGAGAAGTAGAACATCATTTTACAATCTTTAATGAACTGTGGGATCTAATTACTGAACATCAATGACTGCTATCACACAAAAGGAGATAACCAGATATGAAGGGGCTCAGGACCAACGAACACATCACCACCAATAAATTTCTCTCAATTGCCACTCAATCAATTGACTATGCCTGGATAGGGAGCCCTGGTGGTGTACTGTTATCATTAGGCTGGCTAACCACAAGGTCAACAGTTCAAAACCACCAGAAGCTTGGCAGGAAAAAGACAAAACTTTCTACTCCCATAAGCAATTAATGTCCAAGACTGTGCAACTCTACCCTGTCCTATAGGGTCGCCATGCATCAGAAAAGACTTGATGGGAATGAGATTCCCAGGTAGGCTGTACATAGAAAATCTTACACGTGATTATCAGGAGATACATACAAGAATGCCTGCTGCACCACCATTCCAAATGGTAAAAGAGGAGAAATAACCTAAATGCCTCACAACAGGACAAATTGTGATGATTCATATGATGGAATATCATTCAGCATTAAAAAAAAATGAATCAATTACATCTATTGCAAAGCACAATTAATCTTAGACACATAGCGGTAAGAAAAAGCAAATCAATGAAGATCAAGTATGGAATTAAATAAAACTAAGATAATGTTTAAGGATAATGTCAATGGTGCTATGTCTCATTTCACATCCTCTTCTGAATCCAGCTTGAACTTCTTGCAGCTCCATCAATATACTGCTACAACCATTTTTTATTTCTTAAACAAAATTGTACTTGTATGCAATATTAGTGACATTGTTCAATAATTTCTGCACTGTTAGATGACCTTTCTTTGAAATGGGCATAAATATGGATCATTCTAGTCAGTTGGCCAGGTAGCTGTCTTCCAAATTTCTTGGTACAGACAAGTGAGTGCTTCTAACACTGCAATGAGTTTGTGAAACATTGATCAGCCGATAAATAGGCTGTCAATTCCTGGAGCCTTGGTGTTCACTCATGCCTTCAGTGTAGCTTAGGCTTTTTCCTTCAATACTATCAGTTCTTGGTCATATGCAACTTATTGAAATCGTTGAAGATCATCAGTTCTTAAGGTTACAGTGACTATATATTCCTTCTGTTTTCTTTTGATGCTTCTTGTATCATTCAGTATTTTGCCCACAGAATTCTTCAATAAAGCAACTCAAGGTTTACATGTTTTTCTTCAGTTCTTTCAAGTTGAGATCATCTGAGTGTGCTCTTCCCATTTGGTCTTCTAACTCCATGTCTTTGTCCACTTCATTGTACTACTCTGTCTTCTCCAGTTGCCCATGGAAATTTTCTGTTGAATTCTTAATACTTCATCATTTCTTCCATTTGCTTTACCTATTCTACCCTCATGAGCAAGTTTCAGAGTCCTTTCTCACAGCCACTTTGGTCTTTTCTTTCCTGTTTTTAAGGACCTCTGCTTTCCTCATGGATGATGCTCTTGATGTCATTTCACAACTCATCTGGTCTACCATCTTTAGTGTTCAATATATTCTTGAGCAGGTCTCTAAATTCAGTTGGGAGATACTAAAAGTGGTGCTCTGGATTTAATTATCTTCACCTTCAATCTGACCTTGTATATGAGCAATTGATAGTCTGTTCAACAGTAGGTACCTGGTCTTGTTTTGGGTGATGATACTGAGCCAATAAAAATGACTACAATGTTGTAAGGTCTAAAGTGAATATTTATTATTTGATTCTTGTAAGACTTCATGCTCTTCAATGCTTTCGCATTTTTTTTTAAGCAACGAAAAGTTTGCCTAGCTATTAAATCTTCTATGAGGATGCTGGGAATTAAGAGGTTGTGGAAGGGAAAACATGGAAAACGTGAAAGAAAAAAACGGTTAAAATGAGTATTTATTCCATCTTAGGGCTTCTTTCCAATATAAAATGACATACGCTTCCACACAGTAAAAGTCAGACTGAGGAAGTGACGTCAGTGCAAACGTATGGACACGTTTTCCAGTACCAACAACAAACTAGACACATTTAATTCCACAATGTCTACAATTGCCTAGTATTAATGGGACGTCCTCATGGTAATGAAATAAAGAATTTAAAGGTTTTACTTATTCAAAGGCATTAATTAAGAAGGATATAAATGAAAACAGAAACTCTTTTGCAGTGTTTGACAAACATTCATAAGTCGATTAAGAAGTATCTCAATAGTCACTGTTTAGGAGTTTAGTATTCAGTGGTGAACAAGTCAAAATAATACCTGGAAAAAAGCATTATTTAAAGCGATATATTTATTTTGTTTTTTAATGGAGTATATTTACCTCAAAGCCAAGTCTATCTTTTTCTTTCCAAAAACAAAAATGTGTTACTTTTTTATCCCAGAATTCATCTGGCTTCACTACACAAACAAGGGACACCTCAGCTGGAACAACATTCTATAAAATGGAGAAAAAAAATTCCAAATTACACATGCAAAATAAATAATGTGCTAAAAAACAAATTACTAGTTATTCATGATTAGGCTAAGTAAGATACCTTCAGAAAAGAATTAAAATTTTTAAAAATAGAGGGAATGCTCAGAATTCAAAACATATATGTCAGTAAGAAACATTATAAAGACAAGTAGGTTCAAGAGAAGATTTCAGATAAACAATGTAATCAGAGCATACACATGAATGATTTTTTGTGTTTTAATGAATCTCTACTGGAAATGTGTTAGACTGAACTGCAGGATATAACATTTAGCTAAGGAAACAATTTTGGTGGTTTTTTTTATAATATGGAAAAATGTTTTATTTTCAAAACAATCATTTTAGGTAATTTCTTCACACCAGAGGAAGTATTTCTCTTACAAAATAAATTTAATGGTTATTGTTAAAAAAAAAAAAGACTAAATTACTGCATGATTATTAACTTGATGAAGACAAAGAGGCAAATTTGTGTAATATAATTTCACATTTACTAGATTGTCCTATAACCTAAAAGAGAATAAAAATTAGCATCTATCGAGTTAACAAATATTCCACAAATATTTTTTCGGCAAGTCCTATATCTTTAACATATATCTTAAGTCTAATCTGGATAGCTGACATCCCCAAAGTAACCACATTTCTGAAATCATTTCTTAAACTGCCCCATTTGAAGCCCTCTCATATCCAGAATAAAGTGCAAACCTGCTACCAAGTCTATGAGGTCCTCTCAGGACCCATCAGCCTTTAGTAACTCATCTCACCACTCGCTTTCCACTCACTTTCCCCTGGCCACTGTCTGGATTGTTCTTTGCCCTGTACCTCAAAGAAGAGAATATTCTATTCAAATATCCTATCTTCCTTAAGGCCTTCAATGGCCACATTAAAGCAGGACCACCTGGCTCAGCCTCTGTTTACTGCTGTCTCTCTTCATGGAATTTATAACTCTGTGAGTATCACATTATGTGTGAACTAAACTGCTTGTGGTCTGATTCCACAAGTAGAATATGAACTTCCCAATGGCAGGTGCTTTATGTATCATGTCATTCACATCTCCAGGGTCTATGCCAATGCCTGGAATATAGAAGATGCCCTATGAGTATCTGTTGTATAAATGAGTCCTCATTAATACACGGCTCATACTTCCAGTTACAGGAGAGTAAACTGAGCTCAGAGAACTAAAATAACCTGTCCAAGATCACAGAGCGAAAAAGTAAAGCAGCTAGAACAGAAACCAGATCGAATTCTATATTCTGAACCCAGGTGCGCTCATCTTCTGAAAGGTCCAGTTGGTACATGTTAGATTTTGTGGGCCAGTCTCTCAACAACTATTCAACCCTGCTGCTGCAAATTTGCCACAGGCAAATAAGTACGTGAAATGGACATTTTTGAGTTTCAATAAAATTGTTACAGAATCATGGGACCAACTAGTGCTCTAGATAACAAATAATACCCCTGAATTATTATTAACAGTGATAATTATTATTACTATTAATTAGGAGAAAATACAGGACCTTTTGACATAAACACGTCATTTGGTATGTCAGAAATCTGGTGGCCCTGTACTTACTGGGTAATGAAGAGTAAATTCATGGTTGGGAAATTCAGTGCAAAGCTAAGATGTGCTCAGATGCTGAACTGTAGGAGATTTGGGTAAAAAAAAAATGCGAATACACTTAGATTTACTATTTCAAAGAAATGGACTATTCAGCCTGTGAACACACATGTACTGCCAGTACCTCTGGAGACAAAACCAGTGAATGACGTTGTAGGTGGACACACTGTTTGACTATGGGTAAACAACAGGTCATTGCAACTTGTTGAAAATGTTAACTATGAATAAATCCAAAAGTTGTTAAAATACCTATCAGAAAAGAAATCGCAAGAGGGGATAAAAGCATCCACTGATTGTTCTTCAAAACTGCCACTGATCAAACTCCTGCTCAGACAGCAAGTCCCAAACAGCTCATCTGTGACACAGTTGAATGACAGGATGGAAGGAAGAACACAAGGTCACAATTAATGGATTTCTCACCTAATAGTTATTTTAACAACCTTTACAGAAAAGAGTTAATCTTTAGGGTATGGATTATAAAAGAAATGAAAATATATTCCACTGTAAAAGCTACTACAAAACACCAACCTGTGCTGCCTTAAAAACTGGCCCTCCAGAGGTTAAGTCCTTCCTAACGCAAAAGAGTGTTTTCAATTATGACACCTTTAAGCCACAAACTGAAGGAGGATGAAGTAATGGGCAGACAATGTGAGGACCAGCTCAGCCGTACCTCCTGCTGGTAAATAGACATGGTATCATGGTCAAAGCCAAAGCCCAGGGGATGGACTGTGTAGAGCTCCACCTGTTCTCTAAGAGAAACTGGCTCAGATTTAAAACACTTCAGCCTGTATTGCCTTCTGGGGATAATAGAACCTGCTTAACATGCTTGTAAGAATAAAACTCAATGAAATAATTAAGTAGCAAGCTTAGCTCAGTACCAAAACTCTTTCAAGCACTAAAATTACAGTTACTCCCACCCTCTAATTCCTTTATCCTACTTTTCCTAAATAAAAGTTACAGCACTAAGAATTATTCTTAGTATTTAAAATGTTAAATTATATCCCTTTCGGGAAACGCTACAACAGCAACGATTCCTTCTCAAATTCTTTAAGATTCGCCTTTCTTTTAATTCCACTGGCAATTACCTTAGTGAATGGTCATGTTACTCTTAGTATTTTTTCCAGGCTTTCCATCAACTCACTTCATTGTAGTCCCTTCATTTTTGCACCATTACTAACTTAAAGTCCCTGCCAGGAATGCCCTTGTCCCGTTCTCTCATTTAAAGTATATATTCCTCTTGTTAAATCACTTAACATGTATTTTCTCCTGAAGTCTTTCCAATGGAACCCAGGTCCGTGGGAAGTCTGCCCTACTGCTCCACCCCTACTCACTCCACTGTTGCATTTTCCCATGTCAGATCATAATGTTCTAACTACTTTTATATTAAACCAACCAAGGTTTCATGGGTACCTAACACATGCAAGGCACCATGGAAATACTGCTAGAATCACAAGAAGCATAAAACAGAAGTCTGGGATCAGATATCAAGGACTTTTTAATGGTAGGTGTTTATTAAATATTCATCTGTGAGCTAATAAAAGTTCCCGAGGACACAGTCCATTAGCAAATCCTTTCAGGATTATAGTCTTCGTGCATCCTGGTGCTTTTTGGAGGAAGGGAGGGAGTAGAAGGGAGAGACATACCAAAATCACCTTAGGGATTTTTCAGTCAACACTAAGACAGTTCTCCTCTCCCATTCATTAGTGTCAGGGTGAGATGGAGAAGGGAGGATGGTATCGGTACCACAGAACACAACACTCCCCCAGGGAGGCCCAACATGTGTAGCTCGACCTTTGAGAGTCAGTGGCCTATTTGCTTAAATTATGTAAACATTACATTTTAGATCATTTACAAACCATTAGAAAAGGGTCAAGATCCATTTTATTACTTAAATTCTGAACTTGAGAGAACAAAATATAAACAGGGCCTGTCAGCAGTCCGTGCATTTTCTGCACACTGTCATGGTGAGCTTGAGCACAGGACTAAGAATGAGACGGGCTTGCCGTTACCATCAGGATCGGTTGCCGAGAGATGAAACAGTTCCTGAGAGTCAAAGGGAAACTACCTGCAGCATCAAGACGACAGTTTTCACCACAGTCCACTGTGATTTTCTGCCATCCACGATCACGGTAAATCCTCTAGCCTTACACTTTTCACTGAAACAAAAGTACAAAGTATTAAAACAACTTTAGATGTTCTTCTGCAAAATTCTAAAATGTCAAGGTTTAACGCTTGACCTTACATGAGAAGTCATCCCCCCTGGCTTGGTCTACACAGTCAATATGTAAAGTTCTTCACAGAATTCTTGTTTTTGTTTTAACCTGGAGGAAATGTTGGAGCTAATTTGCTACGACAACCACTCTGGAAGCATGGAAAGTCACTCTGTGAGATGAAGAGCAATCACAGCAAGCAGGTCATCGAAGACCCTGCCTTGCTTCACATGTCCAATGGAACTCCAGAGTCACAGCTCTGCTTTGCCATCAGCACTATGAACGTTTGTGAAGGGAGAGCAATTACGCTATGCTTGAATGCACAGTGCCTGACCTATTGCAACTCTCACTTGGCCAACTAGCATTATGCTGGCTGTTGGAAAGTGTTATTGCTACATTACACTGGATTACTCAGATATTTAGTAAATAAGCACTCCTCAAAAGCCTACTAAACTGAAATGCACATCTATACGGAAAAACCACGTAACGACCAAATCTAGAGTTTAATATTGTTCTTTATAAAACTCAATTTCATGAAAGGACTTTAATTGTTCTCGATTCAATACAACAACTTTGCTTGGCAGAGCAGGGATCTGGTAGTAAGAGTTCTCCCCATCCAGCTGTTTCTATGTGGCAGCTTCAATTCCATTATCTTCAATTTTATTTTCCCATGAACTTTTGGAAACTCCTCATACTATACAAAAGGTAAACAGAAGTCCTCTTCCAATAGTGCTACAGGAATTCTTGATTCCCTCCAAATATTCACACAGTCCCCAAAAGTTCTTGGAAACTGATGTCTCACCATTGTGAGACACGGTGGAGGCACAGTAAAAGGATGATGCTGCCAAAGATTTACAATGAGAAGCAGGATCCTGTGAGGCAGGGACAGAAGCTGAACTTACAAAATAAATAGAAAAGTGCTGAGAAGGACAGCCAGTGAAACAGAAGTCCACAAACTTGCATGTAAATATTAATATTAATTCACAATAGCCCCCAAAATATTAATCGTCCATCAACTGAGGAATGAACAAACAAAATGGATTACAGTCATACAGTAGAATATTATTCAGTCATAAAATGAATGAAGCACTGGTCCAAGTGGCAAAGGAACAAGTCCTAACACACTGTTAAGTGGAAGCAGTCCAGCAGAGACGGTCACATGATGTATGGCTCCAGTTACATGAAATACCCACACCAGGCAGACCTGTAGTGACAGAATGCAGAAAAGTGGTTGCCAGGGGCTGGGAGAGGAGGAGGGGGAAAGGAGTGCTAGTGGGTACAGTCTTTTGGGACTGATGGAAATGTTCTAGAATTAGGTAGTAGTGATGGTTTCAGCTCAACCTTTAGCAAATATACTAAGAAACACAGAATTATATCACTTAAATGGGTGAGGGTTTTTGTAAAGTCATTTTATTGGGGGCTCATACAACTCATCACAATCCATCCATCGTGTCAAGCACATTTGTACATATGCAGCCATCATCATTTTCTTTCCTTTTTTCCCTCAGAACATATAGTTATTGAATGCAATAAATGCTATTGATAATTAATAAATATTTATTGAATGCTACTTGATGCAAGGCACTGCGCTAGACCTGGAAAGGGAGTAGTGGGTTGCACTGTCTCTAAGTGCTCACAATCTACGGGGGCGGGGCGGGGAAGCCAAGTCCACAAACAGCTCTAGTGCAAGGCTGGGGCCCTCATCCTTCTCAAAACATTTTCTTTCTACTGGAGCCCTTGGTATCAGCTTATTTTCCCCCTCTCTCCCCCACTCTCGCTCCAACATGAACCTTTGATAATTTATTTTTAAAAATTTTCATGTCTAATGGGTGAGTTTTTATGGCAATGTTTTAAATACTCTTATCTTTGGATTTTGCCTCTTAAGATAAGACCACTAGGTTTTGTCTAGGGAGGGAAAGGTGAGGCAATAAAAATAACTGCTTCAGGGTTAGCAACAGCATACAAACACCTGCTGGGAAAAGCCAACCGGACACCTAATTGCTAGTTGCGGGCTGAGGTAAAGAGGGAATTCACCCCAAATAAGACACACTCACTGGAGGTCGCTAGGACTGAAAGTAGCAGCAAGTCTGGGAGACTAGCCAAGGCAGGGCGGCTGGCTGTTGGCAGCTAACTCAGATGACTATGAGCCCTTGGATGGAAACTCTCAGGAGCTGTCCAGTGGGGGGACTTCACCTAGACGGAGGCCGGGCCCAAGAGATGGTGACATCTCCAGAACGCACTCTGGTGCTTTCTTGCCACTGGCATCTGCTTCGCTGAGATAAAGGTCAAGCTATTATTTTGTTACACAAGTAAGTTTTACACAAACAACACATTTATATTTCAAAGAACACTATAATGTATACATTAAGATCTAAAAAGTTAATAACACTCGCAAATACTATCTGTATTGAGCTTAAGGGCACGAAAGTTTAAATTTATCTTTCAGAGTTCTTACTTAAAAGCACCTTTTATCATCATTTTCTCACAATTTACTAAGGTGGACTGTAAGAACACACACAATCTAAAAAAAACTTTCAAAACTGCAAGATCAAGAGATCTTTCAACTACTTAAAAGGAAAAGGAAATATTTGTTACTTCATTTCTATAAATACAGTGGTGGTGGAGGCTTTTTGAGCATCCACATATTTAATTTAGAAACATGTTATGCCCTCTTAAAGGACACACTGAAGAGGCTGAGAGTGCTATGCAATTAATTTGGAATTCACATTCCTTTATTACAGTTATCATTTTTATAAGGAACATACTCACATTTGACCTAGAAAATGATTACCAATGGATTCCCTGGGTTCTGCCTCCTGCACCGGTTCCCTGGTTTCTTTCAGTAAAACGGAAGGCACCCGCTCTTCCTCTCTTCCAGGTCTGCTTACAGCACTTAACCTACTTAGGTTTTCCCTGTAAGTATTATCTACATCTCACCTTCACTAAATAACATGCTTAAAGAAATCAAGATCATCTTTTTGCTACGTTGGCAGTTTCTAGCACAACAGTCTAAATACCAAATCCATGGCCAGCAAGTCAATTCCAACTCATGGTGACCCCCATGTAGGGTTTCCGAGGCTGTCAATTTCACGGTTGCAAGTAGCCTCATCTTTCTCCTGTGAAGCAGTTTGTGGGTTTGAAACATCGACCTTGAAGTTAGCAGATCAACACTTCCTTAAAACATCATAAGGCTCCTGACTTTAAATACAGAGGGCCTTAAAACTGTTAGAAGACATCCAAGTGCACCACCTCTCAGACTGCAACGATGCATTCCCTTCTCATTCAGAACTGAAAGCCTAACGCCCAGGACCTGCAGTGGTTGAATCACTCAGCTGCAAACTGAAAGACCCATAGTTTGAATCCATCAGCTGCTCTGTGGGAGAAAGACGTGGCAGTCTGCTTCTGTGCAGACTACAGTCTTGGAAACCCTCTACAGCAGTGCTACTCTGATTGACAGGGTTTCTTTCGATGGGTCAGCAATGATTCGGTGGCAAGGGGTCTATGAACTGACTCCATCTCCTCACACTGCTCTCCTAGCATGTCCGTCTCCATCAGTCCATCTCTGGACAGACTGTCAATATCCATCTGCTCCAGTCACGCTGGTTTTCCGGCTAAGCCAGCTCCTGCCTTAATGTCTTGGTATTTATACAAGTCCCTGTGTTCAGAAGCATCTCTGTGTAATGCTACTTTATTAGTATGCCTTTCTTTCCCACCTTTCGTAAACGATCTCCATACACCCTTTCTCGCCCCATCATTCTCCTGACACTTTCCATAGCCCCCTCCTTTTACCAGCACTCAGGTACATCCAATACATTGGGCATTTATTTGTAATATCTGGATGACTTTTAGGAGGTACAGTCCTTTGTTCATCCATTTGCTTAGCACCTAAGACAGGGAAGAGCACACTGTAGGCTCTCATGTCTCTGGTGAGTGAATAAAGAATTAGGGTCTTAGTGAACGGAGGCCTGGCGACATGGTGGGTTAGTGGGTGGGTGGATAACTACCTGGTCAGCCATCCAAACCCATCCGCCTCTCCATGGGAGAAAGAGAAGGCGGCCCACTTCTGGAAGATTTATAATCTCGGAATACTGACACAGGGTGGGCTCTGCAGCAGTGAATTTGGTATGCAAAATAAATTAGGTTTTCTAAAACTAGAGAGAACTGGCAAAATTAAAGTAAGAAAAACGGAAAGGCAGTTCTTGTAACTGTTGAAGAAAAGATGAGTACTCAGTAGGATTTACTACAAAAAGGATTTAGGATTTGGTTGGATATATTTCCTGCTAAGATACTTTCTACCTTGAAAATCTATAACTCCACAGCTAGAGGATCACGAAGTTCCTTTGTGCTAGGAAATATAATGGTTATAATAGCATGATGGGTATCTGCTGAAAGAAAACATTAATATAAAATCTTTAAATTTTTTTCCATGCAGCTATGATCATAAGAGCCTCCTCTGTCACAGGTCCAGGCTTCGAGCCCACTGATACTAAACGTTTCCTGCTAGATAGGCCCCTGTGATTATAAAAGAAGTTGGAACAGCCTTACTATCGGACAGAGATCACTGTAATGTTGATTATGCTAGATCAAACTTGATACTTGGACAGCTGGCCTCCCTATTGACCTAAGCTGAATGCGTTCTAGGTACAAGTATCTCTTGCATGTTCCATGTCAAAACTTTCGTCCCTGGCTTTTTAAATATTAAGGGTGCTCTTTTCTTTCTTACTCATTATTTGTATTTTTATCTTTGTATTATTTTATCCTTACCACTTTATTTCGATTTTGCTTTTTATTGTTCCCATTGGCTTTCCCAGTTTGTGAAGCAAGGAGTGGATGCAGACAGACAATAACTGATACAAGGGTTTACAGGGGATGTGCATGTGGGGGGGCGGGGGACAGATAGGGAGGGTGAGGGAAGGCAGGAGCAGGAACGGAGCACAAGAACTGATTACACAACTCATTTTAAATCAATTTAACCATGGGAGGGGAGGGTATTCTAAAACTGATTGTGGTAATGATTGTACAATTCTTGATCTGATTAAACAATAAAACTATTGAATTGTATGATATGTGGATTGGGTGCCAATAAAAATGAAAAATAGTAATAATAAAAAAAGTAGGTGTACTGCAGTGGTGAAGAACAGACTTGAAGGCAGACTGGCTTCAAATTCCCCACTTCACTCTTACAGAGGACTTTACTAGTGTAAACGATGCCTTTCTATTTAACTGCCAAAGTGGCAGACACCAAGCCCAGCTGCCTACAAGGCCCGTGGCGGGCATGTCCGACCGTTCAATGGAATGACTCAGAACTCACCGGGAGAGCTGCTCCTACCACCTTTAACTATATCCACAAAGGATGCGCACGGAGAGGTGCACAGAGGGGAGGCTGGGCCTGGGTCTTGTCTTCACATGCATTACAGTATAGTGCACACTGTAAGAACTAGGGATCAGCAAAGTATGGACCTGAACTGATTTCTAGGAAAAGATCCTAGGACACTGAAAAGGATATTAGAACTGTTGCTTTGAGTAAATTAATCTTATATTTCTGTGCTTATTGGGGAGTAGGGAGGGGCTAGAAATTAGTCTGGGTACCTGTTGCAGTCACCCAACTTGAAAATCCAGTGCATGCTTATTCATGAACTCAAAAACCTAACTTTTTAAAAAAGTCAAAAAACAAAAAAACAACCATACAATGCATAGCAAAAAATAAACAAAATTGGTTCAGCTATCATCTTTTAAAAGTTAAGTTCAGCATTCAGGCCAGCCTACAGTTCAACTAAACCTTCCCTTGTCAGCCTTTATACTCAGAATTTGAAATAAAAGTTAAATTTAGGGCCCACCTGTGTAGAAAAGAATCAAGAAATGCATTTTCACACTATTTAAATCAGTTCTTGTCCTAGGTCATTATAAATAAAGTATAGTTAAGAAAATGGGGAGTTTCTTTTTATTCTTATACAAAATTTTAAAAGTTGTATGATATTAAAACGTTAAGGGAACTTCTTTTGGACTCTTCCTGTAAGGAAGAGACGACACATTAGCTGGTTACACCTCTGGAGCTGTCTGGAGCCATTCACAACTGGGAAGAATTACACTTTAACCTTGCGGGAGTGGGAGACACAAGCAAATCACCTGCAAATGCAGGAGTGTCAGAAATGGAGAAACCTTTCTAATATACATAGCTGGGTCTGACATAGTAAGTTTAAAAACTGTTTGGGGTGGATCAATGCATAGAAATGCGACAAAGCAAATGAAGTCCAATGTTAATTGTGCAATATGGTTCAGTTACCATACAATTTTTTCAGCTTATCTATATATTTGAGATTTCTCATAATGAAATTTGGGGTGGGGGAGTAGAGAGGGTTAAAAGCGGGTCTGAGTGGTAGAAAAAGAGGTTCTTCAGATCACACCTAATCTGCTCCTATCCACAGTTGTAATAAATAGCTCAATGAGACATTCTAGATCTCTAATGGACTGGCAGGTACTGGCATAAAGATGGCAGCCAAGTTTTTAAATGCCAAAGTTATAAGAGGCTGACTAAAAAAATTCCAATTCAGTGTTTGCAGATATTTAGGAGAGCAAAACTTTGGCAAAAACAATTATGCAAGATTAATTAATCAATCAATCAAGTAATTTATGTAGCCTTGCCAAAATAAGTTTCATCTGTCTTCTGGAAGATGAGAGTATATATGCAAAAGCTGACTCAAATTTATATTGGAGTAGCATCTTAAGTATGCTTAGGAAAGAGAAAATTTAAACAGTGAAGGCTATTTTGTGCTTTGTTTAAGGTGACCAGACTTCCCGCTTTTGGCGGGACAGTCCCGATTTTTAACAATTTTTCCCTGCGTCCCACGGCGTTTTTATTTATTTATTTATTTATTTATTAACATTTTATTAGGGGCTCATACAACTGTCATCCCAATCCATACACACATCAATTGTGTAAAGCGCATTTGTACATCGTTTCTCAAAACATTTTCTCTCCACTCAAACCCCCGACATTAGGTCCTCATTTTTCCCCTCCCTCCCCACTCCCCCCTCCCTCATGAGCCCTTGATAGTTTATAAATGGGTATTTTGTCATATCTTGCCCGCGGCGTTTTTAAAAAGTCCCGATTTTTGGAAAGAACGTACGACAAGCTAGGGTATACGGTTTTCGGCTGCCATGTGGCTCTTTCGCCAGGAAATGAGTTTTATCAATGGTGTCCCGCTTTTGTCCCGCTTTACCAATGTTAAAATCTGGTCACCTTACCTTTGTTCCACTTGCCGGTTTACACACCCCAGAGTGAACATGAGACAGGAGATGTGAGTATGCTGGCCTCAGTTACCCAGTGTCTCTTACCCTGTGGCTCAGTGAGTATCTTGCTAGGATGACAATCATTCTAACATACATTTACAAGCATCTTTGTTCTTCTAACAAACCAATCCATTATTACTAATTCTTCTACAACACAGCACAGTGACACATCCCTGTGAGGGGAAACCCAGCATTCATGGAAAGATATTGCATTCCAACTTCAGAACCTCATTTCAATAAGATACAAGTACACTACGGATCTCCACTGTGTTACTTTGAAGCACGAAAAACTCTTGGACTCCAATCAGGAATTGGAGATTCTAGTCCCAGACCTACTACAAACTAGCTGTGGACGCTGGCAAGTACCTCTAATATGTGTGTCTTAATTCTCTAAATATTTAACTGCATATATGTCACAATATATTTTTCTCTATCTTTTCCCTAAATACTTAACTATATATACATACATCATAAATATTTTCCCATAATTTTTTAGCTATGAATTTGGCATGTTATCTAATGTTTACCTAGCAAGTTTGTTATCTAATAGTTAATAGCATGAGTTGGCAATCAGCAGCTCAGAGGGCTGAAAACAAGGCTCTAACATACTAATAAATTGACTCTGAGATCTGATAACTTCCCTCTACTTAAGATGAAAAACAAAAAGCTTTATTTTATGATCTCTACTTTATGATCCATATTGAAAAAAAATCAGTGGTAAAATCACTACATTGTAAACCAATATTAAAAATAGTTTTAATTAAAGTTGGTTTTCTACATTGTTTTCCTCTTGTACGCTGCAAGGTAGTTTAGATTACATAAATTATAGTATGCTAATAAAATGAAAACAAAGAAGGATAAAAAGAATTGTTTAACTAAAATGTTTCAAATGCACTAACCAAGGCTTAAAAACATTCTTATGTAGTAAGCATCACTTTGTTCCCTCCTAGCTATTAAATAAATATAGACACACTTCTGTCCTCAATCTCATGCTTCATTGCAGTGGTTTACAGATCTGGCTGCACATTAAGACTTTTTTAGAAGCTTAAGTTTTCTTTTCTTTTTTGTCCTTTTAATCTAATGAGCAGGCTCCCGGGAGCTATTAGATCAGATGCCTGAGGTAGAGGCCCAGACATTAGAATTCTGAGAGTGATCTCTAGATGATTCAAATGTTCTGTCAGATTCGAGAACCCAAATATGACATATGGTGAGGAAGTTGAGGAGGCGGGGACTTTTTGTTTGTTGTTGTGGAAGTTATGAGTAGACGTAAGCAAATAGTAATGTTTAAGTTTGGTCTTCACCCAAGAAATGTAAAAATAACAAATTGAAGTGCCTTTGAATTAAAATATAAATATTTTTAAATTAAATTATTTTCTTAATTCCTAATAGCCACCACTCTTTAATAAAACATATAGATATATCTATATAGTAAAATAGGCACATATGTAAAAGATGCTTTCCTACTGAATTAGCATTGCTAATTTTTTAAAAGTTGCATGGTATACAGTTGCTTAATCTCTGTTCTTAAAAAGGTGACAGTGCATGTATTTTAAAAATTGCATCATATTAAATACAGCAAAAGAACGTAAAATGCAAACGTATTTTATCTGCTTTGGTGCCAGAAGCCATTATTTCCTAGTACGTTTCACTATAACTTCATTGCTAATAAAAGCAGGTATGACAGATAATGTCTTTAATCGGAGAAACTTTCCATAGCAGTAGAAAGAATCATTATTAAGTACATGCAAACATATGGAGATATAAGGAAAAACACCTTTCAAGTCACCTTGGAATGCTGAGTAGATAGTCCAAGGTAACACTCAGCTCATCCATATTCGTCTGGTCCAGGCATAACGGAATTGTCAGAATGAGGCCACTCCGTCTGTCCTTCCCGCCTATTAAAGACAAAAGGGATACGTGTAAAATGTAATAACCATTAAAGCATCTCTAAACAATGTGTATTTGCACTGATGTTACTGAAACAAGTTTGAAAGACTGGTTAGGAAATGGCATGGGGCCACACGGGAAGGACACACTCCAAATCCACATCAGCCCGAGGCTGGCTGCTACAAGGCAGCAGTCAGACACGCTTCACCTCCAGCTTTCTTTACCCTGTTCTGCACCCCTCCTCCCACTCTACTTCTCTGCTGGAATCAATAATCCATTGCAATGGCCACACAGAACTCACAGACCACATTCCTGATTCTGAGGGTTTATTAAGGAAGTGAACAGGCTACCACAAGCAGGAATCAGAAAACGTTAGAATACAGCCTTTATGCCCAGAGTGCCTCTTCTTAGTCTTTTAATAGGAATACCTCTCTCTGGTTCTCGGCCTTTCAGCTAGGAGGTCCCTTGGCCCCAGCTCTGCTCACCCAAGAGTTACAAAGCTTCTTTAGTGTTGACAAATGTCCAAAGGTGCAGCACTCCATTCTGCAAGCCAGTCTCCTGCCCAAAGGCACTACTCAGCTTTACTCTCTTCGTGGGCTGTCTCAGGGTCTTGAGACTAAGGCTTCTTGGGCCTTTGCTACTTCTGCCGCTGCAGGCAGGGGTCTCACATGTACTCACTCACAGCTCTTCTCCCTTGTTGGTCCTGGGATTCCCCTGCTCTTCCTTCTGAGATGGCTCACTCTGATATCCAATCAAATGACAAAAGTGACCTAGCTCCAAATTACAAGTCCTGTATACCTTATGTGCACGTTTATGCTTCTACTCACTCCCTGGCTGGAACTTAGAAAGACAGTTTTGTTTGGCCACCCTCTAGCTCATCTAGCCATTGTTTCTTTCAAACATGAATGGCCTTCTACCTCTTTCAGTTGCATCTTCAACTACAATTAATTAACCCTGTTAACAATCACTTACAACTGAATCCTATAATCCTATCAACACCGTCCTGAACCCTTTCTTCTAAGACACATTAGGAAAAGAGTTAACTATTCAGTAGGGATTCTCTTGTCCCCCTCATTTGGAGACTAAGCAAACCCATGAAAATGTGTAAGCCCAGTGCTGGAATTTTGACCAATCTAAACCCATCGCACTGGGGCGAAACTCTAAGGGCATGCAACAGAGCAGCAAGGGAAGTAAAGCAATGAAGGCCCTGGAGAATACCAAAAATAGACTTTGGGGCCAGGGCGTGGCTACCCCATCAGACTCGACCAGAAAACACGCCTAAAGGTTAACAAATAAACCTGGAACTATTTATAGGCTTTTTATTTTGTTGTTGGTTTTTGATGTTGTTGTTGTTGCTTGCTTTTTTGGTTTTCTTTTGTTCTTTTGTTTTGCTCTGCCTTTTTTTGTACTTATTATTGTCTTTGCATGTCTATCTAGATAAGATAGGTGGGGTAAACAATCGAGAGAGAAAACAACTGGACTGATGGTTCCAGTGGGACATGGGAGAGGGGAAGTGGGAAAAGGAAGTGGGTGTTAACAAACCCATGGACAGGAGAACAGGTGGTCTAAGATCAATAGTAAGGAGGGTGTAGGATGCCTGGTAGGGCTTCATCAAGGGCAATGTAACCCAGAGGAATTACAGAAACCCAATTGATGGTTGAACATGATAGTGGGACAAGAGGAAAGTAAAAGGAAATAGAGGAAAGAACTAGGACGCAAAGGGCACTTATTGAGGTCGAAATACAGGTATGTACATATGTAGATATATTTACATATAACATAGGGAAATAGATCTATGTACAAATATTTATATGTTAAGTATCAAGGTAGCAGATGGATATTGAGCCTCTACTCAAGTACTCCCTCAATGCAAGAACACTTTGTTTTAATAACCTGATCGCTGAAGACAAAATGGGTGCATAAGCAAATGTGGTGAAAAAAGCTGATGGTGCCTGGTTATCAAAAGAGATAGCATCTGTGGTCTTAAAGGCTTGAAGATAAACAAGTGGCCATCTAGCTGAGAAGCAACAAAACCCACATGGAAGAAGCACATTAGCTTGTGTGATCATGAGGTGTGTTGATGGGATCTGGTATCAGGAATCAAAGACCCAGGACAAAAAATCCTATCAATGTGAATGAGGGGAAGTGCAGAGCCGAGACCTAAAGCCCATCTGTAGACAACTGGACATCCCCTTACAGAAGGACCACAAGGAAGAGACAAGCCAGTTAGGGTGCAGTATAGCACCGATGAAACATACAACTTTCCTCTAGTTCTGTAATACTTCCTCCCCTCCACTATAATGACCCCAATTCTACCTTACAAATTCGGCTAGACCAGAGCATGTACAGATAGAGCTGGAAACACAGGGAATCCAGGACAAAGAAACCCCTCAGGACCAACAATGAGAGTAGTGATACCAGGAGGGGAAGGAGAAGGTGGGGGAGAAAGAGGGAACCGATCACAATGATTTACATATAACCCTCTCCCTGGGGGACAGACAACAGAAAAGTGGGTGAAGGAGACATCGGACAGTGTAATACATGACAAAATAATAATTTATAAATGATCAAGAGTTCGTGAGGGAGGATGGGAGGGTGGAGTTGAAGGGGGGCAAATGAAGAGCTGATACCAAGGGCTCAAGTAGCAAGAAAATATTTTGAAAATGATGATGGCAACAAATGTACAAGTGTGCTTGGCACAATGGATGGATAGAGGTATTGTGATAAGCTGTACGATCCCCCAATAAAATGATTTTTTTTAAAAAAAGTGTTCAAGGCAGCCACATTATGCCTCTATAACCTCCTACTGCAGATATCCAATTTCTAAATTTCCTATCCCTATCAACACAGTACTCTGAGGAGGTAAGCATGTTCTTTTATATGAATAGTCCTCATTTCTGACTGGAACTTTGAGCATCTGCATTCACAAGCAACTCAGAACAGGTCATTAGAATTGTAGGAATACATACCAGCTCACAGTGTGAAAATTCTCTGTTTTCATTCAAGTGAGTTCTGGTCATCTCAGTCACAGCCAGCCAAGCAAGGTCACATGCATATCAACAGCAAGCTTGAGAATTCACATACCACACCACCACCACCACCACCCCACCCCCTACTTCTTGCACTCCACTCCAGCTGGTCCCTTCACATACTCTCATCAGCCTTGGTGCCCCATGGGCTGTAAGCTCAGGATCCATGTAACCTGTTAAACTTCACACTAGCCTAAGGTGGCCAGATTTTACCATTGGTAAAGTGGGACACCATTGATAAAACTCATATTCTGGCGAAATAGCCACATGGCAGCCGAAAACTGTATACCCTAGCTTGTCGTGCATTCTTTCCAAAAATCGGGACTTTTTAAAAACGCCGTGGGACGCGGGAAAAATTGTTAAAAATCGGGACTGTCCCGCCAAAAGTGGGACATCTGGTCATCTTAGACTAGCCAGTCCTTCCTCTTCTCTCCTGCTTCTGTGGGCCAGGCCAGCAGGTGCCAATGAAACATGTCCAAACTCAGCCCGCCTCTTCATTGCTGGGTTTTCCCAGGTCCACTCAACAAGTGGACCCAGGTGAGTACACCAGGCTGCTCACCAGCCTCCTTTAACTTTCAGGACTAGAAGGGGATTTCTGTGATGGGCACAGTATTTTTCCTAGCAAGAGGCATTCAAAGGCAATGCTCTTACTTCAAAAGTCAAACAGAAAAAAAGGATTACTATTAATTTGAAACAAGCTTACGCTATTGAAGGATGAAAAACGCAGAAAAGGAGGGTGGGATGCTGCCCGCCTTGAAGAAAGTAATCAATGCCACTCAGTTATGTGAGTAGAAATTGCTGAGTTGGTAACTGCTTTGCTGTCTATATTCTCAGTAACAACAAAAATAAAATTTAAAGATGGAAATTGCTATTTGTTTTACATATTCCAAATGTTTACAATAGTATAACAAAGATACAGGTTTTTTTTTAAAGAAATAAAAGGATAAAATGCACCCACAAAATCTTTACCCAAGCATAGCAATTATCATTTTGTTTAATTTTCTTCCATGTACTGTGAGGCATAATGCAATCAATTCATCAAACACCTATTGTGGGCCTTAGATGTAAAATAAAATAAATGGTTCTACTGCAGCCTTACAGAATTTCCAATCAGGAAAAAAAGCTCCAAGTCATAAGAAATAATGAGTTTATTTGCTAAATTGTACATATTATAAATAACGTTATAAAAAAATTGGAAAATGATGAGATATGATAAGTATGAAAGTTTCAAAGAAAAGTTAAGACAAAGAAAAATGAGTACAATTTATAAAGATTGATCTGAGTTCCACTCACAAAGATCAAGCGTTGAAGACTGTATGTATTCTAAAGGGGATGAGGCCTAAAGCCGGGGATCGGAACACTTATACTTCATCTATGTCCAAGTCCCCTTCAATTTGCCATAAAAGTTCAAATATAACTAATACTTTTGTGCACACATAGCTTCTTTGTAAATTTCCTACGTGTTTGACTTGTCCAGAAGCCCATCTTCCGACCCAAGTGATATTGACAGCAATCTCAGAAGCATTTACAAACAGCGTATGTTGAAAGGAATGATTCTACACAATCTCCAGGAAGCTCTCATTCATGAAAACTGAAATGGGTCAAGTGGGGAAGAAAAAAAAATAGACTCCTATCAGTGACATGACGCGAGCTTCTGCCTTCAAGTGGGTTAACCACCACACAAACTGCTGATAGCCAAGCAATTTGTTTACTTCAAAAAGGTAATTTTCATATGGGTCAACTTAATAACCAACAGGGACAAGTCTCTGGAAAAGGATATTGTGCTTGGTCAAGCAGAGGGGCAGAAAAAAAAAAGCCCCCCAAAATAGGGATTGCCCTGGTATCTGCAATGAGGGGCTCACACTAATTATGAAGATGGCGCAGGATTGGGCCGCGTTTCTTTCTGCTGTACATACGGTTGCTATGAGTTGGAACTGACTTGACGGCACCTAACAACAATAATCAACAGTGACTGCAGCAGTATATGGTTTCTCTGTAGACTAGGGATGCTTTGCAGGAGAAACATGGTGCTTTCTAGTCTCGTAAACATCACAGCCCTAAAGGGTCATGAGTCGGCATCAACTCAATGGCAGTGAGAGTGAGAGGGATTGTTTTTTTTAATAGAGTACGCAGTGTTCAAACCATATCCTCTCTGAATGATCTTGTTAGTACAATGAAAACTGTTAGAATTTTTGAAAATTGCTGGCTTAAATAATCATGGTCAAGAGAGGAAGTCAAGAGGGGTAAGGTAAGAGAGGTCTCACTTACTCTTTGAATGCTCTAACTTTTATTCTTGCATTACACCAAATCCACATACAGGCACATACCTGGCCTGTAACATGCTGGCCCTCTGCAGAACTGTCCTTAGAGGATATAACTTTAAGGATTACGTTTAACCTCGTGTCCTCTGTTCTCACTACACCCACTGCCAGTGGGTTGATTCACAGCGACCCCATGGCACAGGGTAGAACAGCCCCATAGTGCTTCAGAGGCTATAAACCTTTTACAGATACTTGTAAAAATGTTCTGCCTAATCTTTTCCCCAAGTAGTGGCTGTTGGGTTCAACTGCTGAACTTGTAGTTGGCAGCCAAAGGACTAAGGTACAATAAAATAATCACTGGTGCAAAAGTGAAAGGGGCAGAAGCCAAAACGACTTTCAAGATAAGTAGGGCCATAAAAAATGAAAAAATAATGTGCACTTTTGGGAAGAATATCAGAAAATAGGCATTCTCTACACTGCTGGGAGAGTAAAAACCTAACAAATGTAAACGTAAATTCTAATACTTGCACTTACAGAACTGCTGAACTTATTATACACAAAGCAAAAAACCTATGGGAACACCACCATTCACAATAAAAAAGAATGGGGGAAAAGTTAGTGTTTACTGATTAGGAAAGACCTAAAAAGGGAAAAATATATAAAATTACTAAACAGAAATAGCAATACTAGTGGAATTTCTAGCTCTATCCTTTAAGTGGTGATAATTTATTTTATAAGAATTAATACTAAACTAGTTCCAGGAAGGTGGATACTGAATACAGCAGTTACATAATCTACTGTCAAATTGAGGAAGGGGTGGAGTCTAGCTTGTCAATCAGGTCATAGCCAGTGAGGCCTCTGTGTGGGCATGGCCTTCTCCTGAGGATTCTGGGAACTCCTATATTTCTTCCCTGGAGGTGGGACACATACTCGCCCTTCAAGACATTCCTGCTGACAAGCCAGATGTGATTTCATTGTTTGAGCAAATTAATACATCTCCTGGTACTTGGTATGCAACTATTGATGTGGCCAATGCCGTCTTCTCAATACCAGCCTCGAAGAACCACCAGAGTAGTTTCCCTTCAGCTGGCAGGGGCAACAACATACTTCCACAACTGAGCCCCAGAGGTACATCAATCAACTCTTCTGCCCTGTGTCATAATTTAGTCCGAAGGGACCTTGATCGCCTGTCTCTTTCACAAAATGTCACACTGGTCCATTATATGGATGACATTATGCTCATTGGACCCACTAAGGAGAATGTATCAAAGACTCTAGATTTATTTGGTACAATATCTGCGTGCAAGAGGTTGGGAAATCAACCCAATGAAGATTCAGGCACCCTCCACCTCAGTAAAATTTCTAGGGGTTCAGGGGTGTGTGGCATGTCGAGACATTCCTACTAACGTGAAGAATCAGCTATTATATCTGACCTCCCAACAACGAAACAGGAGGCACAACGTCTAATGGGCCTCTTTGGATTTTGGAGGCAACATATCCCTCATTTGGGTGCTCTACTTCGACTTATTTATCAAGTGACATGAAAGGTCTCCAATTTTCAGTGGGGTCCAGAACAAGAAAAGGCTCTGCAACAGGTTCAGGGTGCTGTGCAAGCTACTTTGCCACTGGGACCGTAAGATCAAGCTAAACCGATGGTGCTAGAGGTGTCAGTCACAGATAGAGATACAGTGTGGAGACTGATAGGCATAGACCCCTTCAAGTGGGGTACCATAGAAACAAATCATAAAGATGGAGAGCGGATGCTTGTTTGACCTCTGCCTCATGGTCGTTCTTCCTCTTTAGCTAGCCAGAGGTCAGATTTGGCCATGAAGTTTCCTGGGAAGAATATGGGACATTAAAGTTTTGATTGTTTTGTTTGGTTGTTGTTTTTGGTTATTCCTGTGTGATAACAGTGTTGCGGCTATGTGGAAGAATGTCTGTCTGCTCTTAGCATATGCAAGTGGAAGTACAGGCATCCCAGATGGAGCGACGCTGATGGAACCAGAGTCCTGAGCTGGAGAAGCCATGTGGAGACCCACACCAGCGCTGAGTTGCTCCCACAACCACTGGATCTACAAGATGTTCGACCCACTGGCCTGTGATCTTCCTGAATTCAGCGTCATTGCATGTGTTGTATGACTCTGAAGAGGAATTTATAGATTGCTATTGGACATATGAGCTAATATTGGACTTACGGACTTGATCTAGATTGGGCTGGGATGTTTTCTTAATATACAATTATTCGTTATATAAAGTTCTTTCTTATACACGAGTGTCTATGAATTTGTTTCTCTACTCAACCCAACTAGCACAAAGGTAAAACCCCCAAAATTCAATTCTGGCAAGATACTAGTCAGCTCCATTTACTCAATTTTCCCTTCAGTATAGACTCTCAGGGGACTGGGTTCTGCATATTGCTGCAGTGTCCCACAGAACTCACGAAAGTTTGAGGGAATGTTTCATGTGGTAGTGGGTGTAGTTCAGTCAAATCTGAAGGTCTGAAGCCAGAAGACGCACTCCCCTCCTGGCTCTTACTGGTGATGAGATCACACCCCTGCTTCTCAGTGGGCTCATTTTACACTCAGCGGGATGGCATCAAGCAATTTTGTTCACAATTACTCTCACAGGTGAATCCTATTGGTTCCTTCCCGCACCTTCTTACCAAACCCACACAAGGAAAGGTTGCATGGTGGACTGGCATTACATGGTACAATCAAATACAATAATCTATTCTCCACCATTGGGCTTTATCTTATTTATGCACCTAAGACCTGGGGTCTCTGGCCAGATGTTTCCAATAGGCATTGGCCTCCTATGAACCTTAATCGGCCAGGCTTTTTCCCCAGGCCACTCCAGAAAAAGGACTCTTCCTCCTCTTGGCTGTAGTGGATTCTCTGTTAAGTAATAGTGACTAAGATAATCATTAAATAAACTCGCTGCCACAGAGTCAATGCTGACTCATGGCGACCCCCTTTGGGTTCCCCAGGACTGTTAACTGTTTACAGCTCCCGAGGAGCTGCTGGTGATTTTGAACTGCTAAATATGTGAATCGCACCTTAACAGGGCTCCATAGCCATTAAACAAAGAGTGTGGTCCCACTTGGGGGCCACAGCCACAGGAGTACGACATCCACGTTATATCTCTCCTAAGGGATTACGGCTGCAAGAGCCACATTAATCAACTATACTTCACTTTTTATCGAATCTACTATTGGGAAAGCTTGCCTATTTACGAACACAAATATGTTTTAAATATGACACTGATGGCATAAATACAAAGACAATTCTGGCAAGACCTGAAGAGGATAAGAAAAAGCAAGCTAAGATAGTCTGAACAGCACTATGAACAACCTTAGGCAAGCATGGGCAGGTGATCTGTCCTCAAGGATGTGGAGATCTACCTCATGATCCAAGATGTCAGCAAAGGCTACCCTCAAAGTGCACATCTCTGCTTTCTTGCAACAGACCTCAAAAGCATTTGAGATTCTTAGTCGCTGAGATTCTGGTTCACAAACAACTGAAGGTAAATTCAAGCTGATGTAATCCACTCCAAACTGAAAAAAGAAAGTACCAGTAATGGATAGTTCATAACTCCTCCAGTAAAATGAAACTTTCTCATAAGGAGAAACAAGGGGTCCCTGGAGAGCCCCAGCCAGAATCAGTTTATTCTAAAGCTTACCTACATTTCAGGAACAAGTATTTATATGTGAGTTAGCAATCATGCTTGTCTTATGGAACAGAAATCGCCCTGCCCCGTGCCAATGACGACACTTAGCTCGCCCAGCTGTCCTTTCTGGTTAAAAGAGGTCTCAAAAACACTTTTACACTTAGTTAAAAACTTTCTTTTAAACCTCCTAGAAAACGAAAATGCATTAAAGAAGAAAAAAATTAAACAAGGTATCTACACATAAAACACTTCTAATTTTAAGAAAGGAAAACTCATACCTGAAAGAAAGGCTAGTTTTTTCTTCAGAATGGGTAATATGACAGAGGCCTCCATTTCACTCCAGTCAGTGTCCTCACTTCTGGAAACAGAAAGTTAAATGTAAACTTTACGATAACAGTTACTACAGTCTACAAAATACACACTTAAACCTGGGGTTCTCAACCTTGGTACTATTGACATTTGAGCGTTTTTTGTAGGGAGCTGTGCTGTGCACTGTAGGATGAATGCTTTAACAGTATCCCTGCTTTCTATGCACTACGTGCCAGCACCGCAGGCTACTCCACTCCCACCAAAATGTCTCTAGATAATGTCCTGTGGTTGGCAAAACTGCTCCCATTTAAGAACCATTGGACTAACTTAAATGCATTACAGAGCAATATTCTTAGGGCAGAACAGGATCTGAAACATAGAAGTCGTTAATACATTATTTTTTAAATTAAGGAATGCACCCATCAATCTATTTTCTCACTATTGCTTTGATTATTAATTCCATATCTGGCTCTATTAGCTCCTCAATTAAATAATATTTTCTGATTTCTCACATTTTTGCTTCACCACAACACATGAACATATCTTATCCTCACATTTACCTCAATACATCCCTACCACATGGTTTCAATTTTTAAATTTCTTCTCCTACTATTAAATTTGTCTCCCTCTCTCCACATTTCAAGAAAGAAAAAAACAAAAAAAATACCCTGTCACTGCAATCCCAATCCAGATGCAAGCATCATTCTTTAAAGCAGTGGTTCTCAACCATCCTAATGCAGCAACCCTTTAATACAGTTCCTCATGTTGTAGTGACCTCCAACCATAAAATTACTTATTAATTAAAGCATTTACCCAGTAATTGTAATTCATGAAGTGTTGTTTTATCTCCAATACTGCTGCTTTGAACACAGTAGCTGCTTTTAACAGAGTAGCTACTTTCAACACGGCAGCTGCTTTCTACACAGTGACTACTTTCTACATACTCTGTTTCCCTGAAAATAAGACAGTGTCTTATATTAATGTTTGCTCCCAAAGATGCCCTAGGTCTTATTTTCAGGGGATGTCTTATTTTTCCATGAAGAAGAATACGGTACTCATTTATTGTTTTATTAAAGAGACCTCACACTTCCTGTGTGCTCCGGCTGCACCGCGGCCAACAGTGAGCTGCGCAGCGGCTCCCACCTCTACGGTCCAGAGTTAATGTAGCTTGAGGGGCGGAGGGGCGTATTTTGGGGGAGGTCTTATTTTCGAGGGGATGCCTTATATTTCAGCAAGAGGCAAAACTGTAAGTAGGTCTTATTTTCGGGGAATGTCTTACTTTCGGGGAAACAGGGTAGTAGTTGCTCTCTACATGTGTGACTGATCCGCATAAGCACATTATGGCACCAACCCTGTCACATACACCTGTATTTGTACAGGGTGTATGTGATGGGGTTGGCAAGATGATGTCATCACACTGGGTACTTGTATGTGGCTGTATCTACATGCAGGCGGACCCACCTGGGGACAGACAGAGTAGTGCCTTGGTTCCTACAAACCACCGAAATATGTGTTTTCCGATGGTCTTGGGCAACCCCTGTGAAAGGGTCCTTCAACCTCCCCCAAAGGGGTCGTGACCCACAGGCTGAGAACCCCTGCTTTAAGGATATGGGAAAATTAATCAACAACTCTACAGGGAGAGAAAAGAGACTCTGGAAAGCAAAGCACGACTAAAGAACAATGTAGGAAACCTCACAATCGCAGACTCAAACCTAGGATACAGGCAAGTACTCAAACACACAGAGACCAACTGAACAGAATTGAGAATCCCAAAATAAGTCCATCCATTTATGTACAGTTGATCTTTGACAAAGGTCCAAAAATCATTAAATGGAAACAGATAGTCTCTTTAACAAAGGGTGCTGGCAAAATTGGCTATCCATTTGTAGCAAAATGAAATAGGACCCATATCTCATACCATATACAAAAAGAAACCCAAGATGTATCCAAGATCGACACATACGTTAAAAGTAAAAGCACTATCAGAGGGAAAAATATAAATAACTTAGTGGCCCTACTGGCATAAAAAGTGGCACCAAAAAGTTCGTGGAAAAAAATTTGTGTGTGTGTGTGTGTGTGTGTGTGTGTGTGTGTGAGAAGCCTCTTTATATGTGTTAGAAGTCCTGGTAGCATAGTGCTTACATGCTGAGCTGTGATCCACAAAGTCAGCAGTTAAAAACCACAAGCCACCCCAAAGCCCGACTGGGCTTTCTACTTTCCTAATGGGTTACAGTCTCAGAAACACATAAAGGCAGTTCTACCCTATCTTATAGCGTCACTCAGAGTCCGTATCGACTCAAAGGCAGTGAGTTTGGGCTTTTGGGTTTATATACCTATAGATATAAGAACCTCAGCATGAATAGATATATGCACATTCAATGTTCACTGCACCACTATTCACAATAACAAAAAGATGGAAATGGAAACACCCTAAGTACCATCTGTGGAAGAATGAATAAATAAACTATGTGTAATAGAATACTATGCACCATTAAAGAAAAGTAATAGATGAAGATGTTAAACACTTTGTAATTTGGATAAACCTGGAGGATATTATGATGAGTGAAAGGTAGGGCAATAAATAATAAGAGTTTTTAGCAAAAAATTACGGAGGTAGGAAAAGATATGGAAGGATGGGAAGAGTTCCAGGCAACGGAGGTAAATACCATTATACACACAATCCTGCACTTATGGCATCTGTAAGTAGATGCACAGACAGACATGCATGCAGGTTGAACACGTATGGGAAAGAAAGGGGGAGCGTACCCGTATATATAAGTAAGTTTAAAAGAGGGTATTTCTACATGTGATTTACTGTACCTATGTTACAAATATACCCAAGAACATGGTGGAGTATACAGAGGGCAAAGTTATGAAAAAATTTTACACATAACCACTAGGGAAGGAGGTGGTAAGCCTAGGAGCACAGGACTACAGTCAAGTCCATTGGTTTAACACAGTCCACAAAGACAACATTCTACATCCTACTTTGGTGAGTACTGACTAGGGCATTAAAAGCTCAAGAGCATCATCTGAGAGATCTGTCCAGAGGAAAGAAGAAGGAAGAAAATGGAAGATGCATAACAGGCCACACAAACACCAACCTCCATGATCCTGAGACCAGAACTACAGGGTGCCCAGCTACCACTACCAAGTGATCTGAAAGGAATCACAGTAGAAGGTCCAGGAGAGCCTGGAAAGAAAATGTGGAACACAACTCAAAATCATAAAGAAGACCAGGCTTACTGATTAGATAGAGACTGGTGGAACCCCTGAGCCTACTAGCCCTTCATCACATGTGGGTATGAAACTAAACTCACTTCCATGGCTCAATCTTCAGCGAAACAACCGGGAAGCAGTGCATCTAAAAGGGTAGCAGGAACACAAGGGTGGCACATGCACTCCTGAGGGTAATCACCCACTTGAGAGCAAAATGGCAGCATCTACACCAAAACCAATTCACAAGGATTAGGAAAAGAGGAAGAGTGGAAACAGGAAACACAGGAAGCTGGTCTGCTCTGTAAACCTTCATGAAATTGGCAATAAAACGTTCGTGTTTGTTTTTAAAATTTGATTATCCTAGTTCATGTTTTTGGACCAAGTTATTAGTTCACGGCTCTCAGTAAAGTTTTCCAGAGTCCACTCAGCCTCAACCAAGAGTAATGGCTAAAATGCAAAAGCAGACGATCTACACACCAAGGGCTACAGAAAAAGCCATTTTCCTTAAGAGGGGATTTTGAAAAGGCTGCCATTCCAAAACTTTGTCAGCCTAATATACTACCAAAATAGGATTTAAAGAAAAGCCAAACCTTTAAAATCAAAGTTTCAATAATATGAGTCTCCTGTAATTAATTTCTCCATCCCACTTTCTCTCCTCATTCTCGGTTTCCTCTCACACCCACCCACCACCACATTATAGTGACAGTTCCTTGGGAGCACCAACTAATTGTATTTAGTGCCAATATACTCTTGTGAACCATTTTTCAGGCAAAGCAAAAACTAGGTCTCTATATGCATGCATATTACTTATTCTGCAAATATTTACCATGGACCTATCCCATTATTTCAGAGACTGTGCTGCCAGCTAAACACTCAAAACATAGTCCTGACCTACCCCCCTACCCCCGGCCCCAAATGTCTTTAAAAAGTAGCTTCAATATGGGTCATATAATGGCTAACTAATTGCCTCATATGCATGTGAAAGGTGGACACTGAATAAGGATGGCAAAAGAAGAATCAATGCATTTGAACATGGACTGCCAAAAGAATAAACCAATCTGTCATGGAAGAAGTATAGCTAAAATACTCCTTGGAAACAAGGATGGCCAAGTTTCATCTCATGTCTTTTGGACATCTTATCAGGAAAGACCAGTCCCAGGAAAAAAGACATCATGCTTGGTAGAGCAGAGGAGTAGTGGAAAAGAGGAAGTTCCTTGACAAGATGGACTGCCACAGCGGAAGCAACAATGGATTTAAACACAAGAGTAATTGTGGAGAATGGTGCAGGACTGGGCCATGTTTCATCCTCTTGTACACAGGGCTAACAATGGCTAACTAAGCAAGGCTAGTTCAACAAGTATATTATTCCACAGGTTTGTGTATTAAAGGGAAAAAAGGAATAGGAAGTAGAAAGAAAAACTGATACTTTACATATTTAATCTGAAAGCACTATTGTTCATGCTTCTGGAACAACATTGTAACTTGATAAGTGGTCCGTTCAGACAACAAGCTGTTATACAAGGACTTCGCTCAGAATCTTATCTTGAGTCCCTTCTGTAGCCTGCTTGCCAGGGACCTGGTGTGAAAGCTTTACCATGATAATCATCATGATGATCATTATAATTAACATTTGCTAAGTGTTGACTAGAATTCATGCACAGTACTGAATGGTTTATCTGTATGGGCCTATTTAATCTTTACAGCATTTCTATCAGCTAAGTAGTACTGAAATGGTAAAAAATGTACCCTTCTGGTATTCAAAATACTAGAAATATAACAAAATTTAAGCTTTTGTTAAAACTTCAAAATGTAACATCCCTAATCTGCAGG